AATGGTGTGTGGGTGGTGTATGAATGGTGTGTGGGTGGTGTATGAATGGTGTGTGGGTGGTGTGTGAATGGTGTCTGGATTGTGTATAATAGTGTGTGGGTGGTGTATAATAGTGTATGAATGGTATATAGTGATATACGTCGTATAAGTGTAGGGTGTGAAATTAACGGGAGTCCGGAGTCAAATACTCCCTGATTTACTGTCGGACTCCCTGATTTACTGTCGGACTTCCTGATTTACTGTCGGACTCCCTGATTTACTGTCGGACTCCCTGATTTGACATATGCAGGAGTCCGTGTGACTCCCTGAAAATTCTGCCATAGTAACTAGTTCATTCCGGAGCACGGCCTCGCGGAATTACTGTATTTTTTCAGCTAATGTCCAAAGAAAATTTGGCAGACGTGCAACTGCATGAATCTTAAAATGCGTTATTGTTAATATCTTTAATTTTGAACCTCAGACTGCGGACTCCCTCATTTTGTTGCGGACTCCCTCTTTTTGAGGGTAGGGGTCAAAAGTTCATTTCTACCCCTGTAAGTGACATTGCCCATGAGATTCGGCTCTCAATTACTTCAGCAGGTAAGGCACACGCCTTTAGGCGCCTGTGATAACTTCAGTACAAATGAATGTGAAATAGAGGTACTAGCTGACAAGGCGTCGATGAATGTTGACGTGAGAGTGAAATATTTCAGGTGGGAAAGATCTACTTTGATCCGAAGCAGGATTGTGAGAACAGCGATGAGTGCTATGTAGGATTTGCGACACACACACCAGGTATGCTATTACCTGACGGAGAGTATGTAGGATCTCTGCTCACGTACTGAGCTCCTAGTCACTGCAATAGATTCGCAAACACCATCATCATCAACACTGTCGTTACAGTAACCAGTCATCGCGGTTGTCGTAAATTCTCGTTAAATTTAATAATTACACAATCTTTGTGTGCGGTTGTCGCAAATTCTCGTTTAATTCAATAATTACGCAATCTTCGTGCAGTTTATCAAAAGCAACAGACTAACAATATTTAACTAAATAACTCGATAGATACTGTTTGTTTGATACAAGAGCTTGTTTTGAACGGGTGACGAAAAGCGCATGTTCAGACTGCAGAGAATTGCAATACATATACAGAAATGAATACAGAACAGATACATATATAAAATCAGAATGCAGAGAATAATTACAGTACAGATACATAATAAAATGATACAGGAATGAATACAGAACAGATACAGATATAAAATCAGAATGCAGAGAATAATTACAATACAGATGCAGAACAAAATGATACAGGAATGAATACAGAACATATACACACAAGCACGCGAACACACGCACACGCGCTCATACACACAC